CATGAAGGCTCATGAATATTTGAATAGTTGCGACAATTGGCTAGTTAATTCACTGGCGTTATCCTATAGTTTCCCACAGCGTAGCAACGTTGAAGTGACCACTCTGGAAAGATAACTGAAGCTGAGGTTGCTTTGTTTCTGCTTGATAAAGTAACATTGGTTTTACGGTTTCACAAAACCATGATTTGCAGCTGCTGTTGAATCACAACTGATTTATCCATACTTGCATGAGCCATGTGATGTGCCAGCTGTTAGTCGTTGCCTGCGTTACGTAAAATGTTTGTTATTTTGAGGTGGAGCAATAAAGGGAGGGGTGTGTTTCTTTTGGGTAGGGGTGTGTGTGTTTGAATATGACTTAAAATATCAACATTGTTTGTCAGAAACTACTTACTGCACTTTTAAGCATTTCATACCAAGGAGCACTGCAGCTGCCTCCAACTGTAATTGTGGTTAACACAATGCAAAACTCAAAATACTCATGATATAATAATAAAAAAAAAACAGGAAGACTCACTTGAAGCATCATCATCATTGGGAGATTTATCCTCATTCTGGGCATAACCAAAGCTTAAAAGTTTGGACATGCTGACTGGAGCTGTTTTCTTCTTATCATGGGAACTGCAATGTAGAAACAATTATCACAAACTAATATAGACTGAAAACATTTTATATTTAATAATGTGCATTTGGAAAATAATATAGGGGCTAAAATGTTTTTATGTTGTTGTTTTTTTGAAAAGAGAGAGATACATACGTCTTTTTGAACTTGTTGGCCTGGTCAATATCTTGTAGTGAGAGTTTCTGCATCTCCGATGTAGCATTGTTGACATTCTGTGTGAGGACATTAGATTTTCAATATGAATTCACAATTTAATATAATGATGTAAAACACCGCCGATGAAAACGGATTAATTCACAATCATAATTAATAATTCCATTCAGCAATAAAAACGGAAACCCACAGATACAGAACATCATTAATAAAAAGAAAGAAGCATGAAGGAAGAATAATGAATGACTAATAATGCAATAAGATGATTCAGTTTCCTGTGTATATGATGAATCACAGATCTAAGGCCCCGTCCACACTACTGCGTTTTCGTTTAAAAACGGAGAATTAAAACGAAAACGATCTCCGTCCACACTAGCGTTTTACCTGCGTATTAGAATTTATCTCCGTCCACACTAAAACGACTGAAAACGTGGATCACATGACCATTCACCAACACTGGGCATGCGCGAGCCGGTGTAAACAGTGGTTGGCGAATCAGGGAAAGATACGTCATGACTGATGACACCCAATCATAGAGCCGTGCGTGAGCCTCTGCGTCATCGTTTGTAAACTCCTCCGTTTTGTCTCGTCCACACTAAAACGCCCTCCGGAGATTCAAAGCGCAAAACGCTGCTGCAGCGTTTCTAAACTTCTCCGTTTTAGGTCTTCGTTTTTCCCGTTTTAGTGTGGACGGGAGGTGCAAACGTAGCAAAAGGTCTCCGTTTTTAAACGAAAACGCAGTAGTGTGGACGGGGCCTAATGTTACAGGGTACAGAGCTATTTCAACAGTCATTTGAGGCAGCATTCTGAAAGAACCAGTTCTGTATAGCTAAATATGTCAAACTGGTTTTTGCCAAGGAAAAACCTTTTGGTTTAGTAACCTTAATCCTTTAAACTCTTTGCTAATATAGTAGGCAACTGTAACGAAAAGCAAATGATTTTAAATAATGATTCTCAAATATTTACAGTATTTAATGTTCCCAACTGAGTAGCCACATAGCATGCAGTTATATCAAATTGTATGTATAAATTTCACCATGAAAAAACAAAAGGTCATTTGCAAAACTCCTGCTTTCCTGTGAGAGAAAATGGTTTGTGCATTTGTCAACCAGTCAAGAAAGCAAAAAGCAGAATCACAACAAAGGAAACAAAAAATGGTTGGACCCCAGTTTTTGCTGAAACTTATTTTGCTTGGCCAAAAAAAAATAAATAAAAAGATGGCAAGATGGCAGCGGGATGAAGAATGGAAGGTTCAAATACACGATGGCTTTTACGGTCTGTGCTAATCCATTCACCTTGTCATTACCAGAATCCCTGTCCCAGGCTGAACAGTTATCAGTTCCAAATGGGGGCTCCAGTTGCTGTAAGGCCCCTTTAGACTCACTCTTGCTGATTCCGTCGGGGGTAGTAGCATTACTTCCGCTGCAAGCATAAGATCAAAAGATTGAACCCCAGTTTCATACCACCATGGATTGGATGGATTGGGGTTTACCCTTTTATGTCTCTACAAACCCCTGTATTTCTTCTGAGAGAAGATTGCAAGTCCCCCATGTCACCCTATTAATACGGACCAGAATATTCTTGAATTGCTTGAACATGCCATGCCTTGAATACCAGAACTAATTGACACATGCATAGCTTCTTTCTCCAGGCCAATGAGTTGTAATAAATTGAGATGATTGAGTCTCTTAAAATCTTGGATCATTCGTCGAACCAAAATTGTGTACAAAACATTATTGGGCTGACCAATTCTCACCTCTCTTGATCATCGGGTGAGTCAGAGAACCAATTAGAGGGTTTGTAGGTGCTGTTAGGTTTTGATTCCACAGGATCATCGTGCCGCAGCAAACCTACAGGAGAATTGAAAGATTAGCAGGGCCATAATTATTAGGCATCTTTTAAAGTCAATCAAATCACGTTGTGTTTATTTTTGTAAAAGCAGTAGTCGTTCTGTGCGTAAATGCTACACTTTGTTCCTATAGGATGCTATTCTCAACATGTAGTGAATCACAGCAAAGTTAATGACAAATATCAAAATAAAATTCTATACAGTTGAGACACATTTACCCTTCTGTCCTCCTTGTTTCGCAAGTTTAACATAATCCGAGTCAGATGCCTGAATTCCTACACGCCGTCCTTTAGTTTTTTCCTCAGGAGTGACGTCAGCATTCTGAGACAAACCTGGAATCTGTGAAGAGGGTCCAGAAGCTCCATTTGAAGCTTCATGTTGAGTTGATCTAACACCTACAATGAAATTAAAATATTTGCACAATTATTCAAGTGGTGCTTATTGCAGAGCCAAATGGCATCCGGCTGCAGCTCTCTGGACTGAGTTTGACCTAGTCCAGCTCCACCTATGTCGATCTAATGGCTGGACGGATAGAGTTATGGGTAAGGTTAGGGTGCGGTTGGACCTTCTAGCACCATCCATTTTACGTCAAAATTACAGCCAGAGAGGGGGAGCTCCACCCATGGCCCTGCAGTGAGCAGCTTCTACAATTAATTGCCTCAATCTTATACAATATTTAAAAGTATTACGTGACAATAATGTAAACCTACAGTGGTCTGTAAAAAAAAGAAACAAAAGTATAATTTGTTGCTCACAAGGGCCATTACCCGGTTTTGTCCGGCGATAGTTGGGCTCGGCATCCATGTCTGGTGTCTTGGTGGTTAGATAGCACTGCAATGGCAGAAAGAGTCAATTAAATGCTTAACATTGATTCTAAATAGAAGATTCTCATTTAATGCGTTGTTAAATCATCCAATTAAACTGCGAAATACTGTCAGTCATCTCGACATATTGAGCGCAGAGCCTTGCTCCGTTGTGCAGGCAGCCGCATATCGACAGCAATCTAATTTACCAAAAGCGAATAAACGCGGCTACTACTGATTACGTTTTTAAACACTGTGGTTATTTTAGCTAGTTCTCTTTGGGATTATTATCGTTTAATAGTTAGCTCCCCAGTCAACCTGGTCGCCTAGTAACAAAAGCAGCATCAGGACCACCATAAGCATCATCTATACAAGACATTACCAATTAACTGCGCAGACTTTAAAAACAGAAATTACAGACATCACGGATAAAAACTAAATGTAGAGAAATATTTAAATATTAAATTACATCGCTATTATTTAGCTGAGGCTACTAAAATGACATGGAAAAGACAAAGCTTACGTCGTGTTAACTAGAAGCAGCGCGCAGAAGGGGGGACGCCTAGATTTCTCTTCTTCAAATGACTGAAGTGTGCTCTGAACCGGGACTGAGGCGCCTCTCCTGCCACCTACTGGATGGGAAACAATCTTCAAGCGAAAAACCAAAACATGACATCACCTGTACTATTATTAACCCTTAAACAGGCAAGAATTAGAAATGCTAAGCAAAACATAATTTATTTTTTATATATAATCTGGACTTAAATAAAACATATCCAAAATATTTGTTTTCTAAATTTGATATATTTTGGATTTTATGAATTGTCCTGAGATTCGTTGCCTGGTTAACTGTAACTGCCACTGTGCGTTTAAAACAATTATATCGAATTCTTCACCTGATCTAATTTTGTGTTGCCATAGAAACGGTACCCTAAATTATTTTAATGGACTCCTACCCTTTTGGGCATCGTCATATTTCACCAAAAAAAAAAAAAAAAAAAAAAAAAAATACAATAAAAAATCTATCTCGTGAGACACTTAGAAATTTGGCTGATATAATGAGTTTTTCATAAAATTTATTATTTAAAAAAAGTTGTTTGTTAACGGCAGTTCAAAACAGTGATCATTAATTAATAAATTAATCCGCATTTAGCTATATTAAGTTATTTATTTGAAAATTGAAATATGTTGTTCATGTTTATTAACTCAATATTTCCGTTTTAATGTATGGAAGACATTATCTATCAATTTTAAATAAATTATTTAAATAATAGTCAAATTGTACGCAAAACGTGACAAAATGAAAAGAAAAGAAAAAATCAATTGTTTTAGTTTTCAGATTCATCATTTGATTAATGGATTTAAAATTGACCTTGTTAACGCAGAGGTTTAGTTTGTTTCAAACCAGTTGCAAAGGTGATTTTTAAACATGATTCTCCATAACTATAGGCGCTGACAAACTTACAGTAAATTCAAAAGTTTGCCCCGGCCGGGGACTTTACTGTTGTCACGTGACATCCGCTCAGAGGCGTGTGTAAAACTATGGTGTAAAAGCGAGAGGAGTGGTTCAGCAGCAGAGATGTCAGCAACACACACTCTGAAGATGACAGCATCTGTTCAATACATAAGAAAACTGCTGGGGAAAAGCAGCTGCGCGACAAACAACCTGTTTAACAATGGACACAAAGCACAGAAGAACACTAGTGATTATAAACAAACAACCAAGAGCAAAGATGAAAAAAGTCATAAAAGAAACGTAAGTGACTACTAAAGTTTTATTTATTTATTTATTTCTCATTGACTTTATTTTTTAAATGTTGATTATATGATTTTAATCATTATTTTGTAAGTGACATTTAATATTTATTTATTATTATTATATAAATAATATCTAGGTACTTATTTTAATAATGACCTATTGTGTGGTGTATTTTTTTAGGTACTGCAATCCCAAGACAAGACAATGGAGCAGTGTATACGGTATAAATATATTTTTTAAATTATATATACGATTAACATCTTAAGTCACCTACACAAATTCAACCCAGATACACAACTCATGTCTCTTTCTTACTCATGTCTCTCTCTTGGTTAACAGGAAAACAGTTGTTTTAAGAAGAAAAGAAAACGAAACTTTTGGGTTTGACATCCAGGTAACCTTATTACCCGCCCACCTTCTATCCCTCTCTCTTCTCATCCTTTTTTTTCTCCATTCATTCAAGCATTACGCCTGCCTGAGGGCTTATTATCTGTCAGAGTATAATTGGATTTTGGATGATGAATTGATTGAATCTTTATTCCCTGTCCATAGACAGGCAGTGTTGAGAGAAGCATCAGCACTGAGCAGGATTTGGGCTCATGTGTGTGTTGGGTGAAGGAGAACAGTCTCGCAGAGAGTAGTGGGTTAATGACAGGTGAGTTATCAAAACACCTGCCCACTTTCTGTCAGGAACCAGTGTCATTCATACATACTCATTGCTAAAATCTCTTTGTCTCTCATCTCAGGTGATGTTATTATCAAAGTCAACAGTGTGTACATCGCTGGATTCACTCAGCAGCAGATCAAGGATCTGGTTCAGGAGTCCTCCTTCTTAATGTAAGACTAAACACCATTGACTTTGGTACAATTTGATATGTTAAATACAAGTTAAATGCACCTCTTTTGAAAGTAAAAAGACTGTAAAAATTATTCTGTACTGGGCCAGACTGTGACTAGTCACAGCAGGGATATGTTGATACACCAGATTATTAATCATTTATTGGTTTGCTTCTGTTGCTCTCCTCATTTGGATAAAAGCGTCTGCTAAATGATTAAATATAATGTACAGTAAAACCGGTTAATCGGTTCATTTAATTAACCTATGCAGTGTAAAAAAAAGATGTTTGTAAGTAAAAAAAGTATGAATTACCATCATTCATGGTTAAAATCTACATTGATTTAAATAAATTTTGATGTAGGTTTAAGAGACCAGTACATGTACATACCTCTATTAAAATAGTTGTATATTTAATTTATCCTTTAAATAGTTTTACATAAAATTGAACAGGATTTTATTACAATGTTTTTAAAATATCACAATATTTGTATTCATTCTGTCACAAAAGCTGCCACTATGATAGAATGAGTGTGAGTGGGTAGCCTATAATGAAACAATCCAAAGCAATAATTCAATGGATTGTAGAAGTCGTATTATTACTTAAAGTCAGAATGAAACAGAAGTTGTGATAGTCTTTTCTTTCATATTGTGACACATCAGACCGAAACGTCAGCTCAGACAAGAAAAATTGCACCAGTAAACATTTCATCAGAGAAGAGATGTCAGGAGGGGAAGTTATTTTGATGAAATATTATGAGGCCACATGAAATGATGTGCACATATTTATAATACAGACCAGTATTAATAATAAATATTACAATAATTTTTCAAATTTGATTTCATGGTGACTTAATACCCAGTGAATGATGCCTCTTGATCTGAATATAATCTTTATGTGTTCTCTCTTGTGGACTGCAGGATGGAGATGATCAGAGGTGCTACAGAAAAGCCGAGGCAATTGCTTGGCAAGCTTCATCTTCTGCAGGTGATTTTCTCCAAAAATATTGAACATTTCTTAAAATCATAAGTCCCATTTTGTGCCCTAATTATGCATTTTTAGAATCCTTCATAATCATTCTTGTCCTGCCTCTGTTTTGCATAACTTGCGTATCAATAGTTATTTACTGTAATAATGTTGTGTTGGGTAACTGTGTGAATCGTGAACAAAGTTGGTTTCCTCTTGCTTAACAGTTTTTTTTCTTTCTCTGTGTTTCCCCGTCACTTTTACACCACAGCGACAGTTTACAGAGAAACACGAAGAGCTTCAAACACTCATCACAGAGGAAGTGCGTCTAATGGGAGGTGTGTTAATATGTATTTGTGTGTGAGAGATGTGGGCATACATTACCCACACGAGAAACGCATCATTTCCCTGTAAAGCCACGGTCTTCCCTCATGATATCAACAAAAGCATCCGTGTGTGCACGCATACCATGTGGGGAGTGTGTGTGTGTATAGAAATTACAGGAAGATACTTTGCTGACGATTCTTATCTGTTCTAAAGTGAAACTTCAGTTAGTCTACACTGCGAAAAAATGTTTTGTCAGGTCGTTTAAAATGTGTTTCATGTGGTAACAACTGCATAATAGAAGCTTGTATCTACTGCGGAAAAATACAATAAAGGCAATTGCGTGTTTTATATTTCACAAAACTGACTTTTTTTCTCAGACATGCAAGTATATGTCTCTCAATTCTGGGAAAAAAGTCAAAATTGAGAGATATAATCTTGCAACTGCAAGAAAACTGTGAGTTTTTATCTTATCTCTGACTTATTTTCTCAGGATTTTGAGATATATACTCGCAGTTGCGGCGAGTTATACAGTTCCAATTGCGAGATGTAAATTCTGAGCAGAATTCTGAGATAAAAAAAAGTCACAATTACCTTTATATTTTTTTTTTTACTCCTTGGTGGAAACAAGCTTCCTATCACAGGTTGGCTTAGCATAATCTAAAAGACAATGCGTGACACAGAATGGACAATAAAACAACTCTTTAATAAACAGAGAGAAATCTCACAAACACAATTTATACACATTAACATGTGACCATGAACAGAGGGATAAATACACAGAGGGAAGATAATCAATGGAACGGAGAACAGGTGAGGTACTAATTAGAAACAATGACAACAGATGAGTAACCAGAGCTAAGGCAAACGATGACAAAGAAAACAGGGTCCATTTATTTTACACAACACCGCTTTTAACTAAGGCTATGTTTACACGGAAACGATTCTGAAGAGAAAACGCAAAAGTGGTGTTGCGTTATCACTTTTTATTCTGCGTTTAGACGAGCGTTTTTGGTTGGAAATCCGCGTGCATATGGTGACACAAAAGAGTGTGAAATTCAATGTAGTATGCACTCCAGACGGCTAGGTGGCGACGTGAAGCACTGCCACACAACAACACCAAGTCCGCGCGCCTGTGTACAACCTTCACTGTCAAGCAGACTTTTGCGTTTTTACCGTTTACATGGGAATGCGGCGGTGGAGCGTTTTTAAGATTTCCACTCTGGAGTGTGGTTTCACTTTTTTGCGTTTTTAAGCCCCAAAAACGCTGTCGCCGTGTAAACGAAAGGCACATCCGATATAATATTTTTACGTTTTCACCCGCGAGCTTTCTCGTGTAAACAGGGCCTAAAAACGCAAACATTTCATGTCCCTTTTTTCGCCATTCATTTACACGACAACGGTATTTTGGGGGGCCTGAAAAAACAAACTTTTGAAAATGTGCACGTTTTTAAAAACGATACCATTATCGTCCCTGTGTAAACTACAAAAATGCAAATTTGTGAACACTGTGATGTCATTTGCATGCATATTATGTGTTCAGTCTATAGGCACAGAGTTTTCTTTACAAAGTTATATCGCCAACTACTGGCCTGGCAGCAGAATACAGCGTTTTCAGTCGTGAACGGGGACCATTTTGATAACGTTTACGTTTTTGGTAAAAACTTCCGGAATTCAGAATGCCTTCATCAAACGTAATTTTTTTTAAGGATCAGTTCAGAACTTACAGGAATAACATAAATTAAAAAAATATTACTACATAGAATAGAATGATTTATAATAAATAATAATTTGTAGTAACACATTGGAAAATTATACTAAATTAAATATTTTCAGTTAAAGGAGTTGTTCACTTTTAAAAAAAACTTTTGCTGATAATTTTCTCACCCGCATGTCATGCAAGATGTCCATATCTTTCTTTCTTCAAAGGTTTTTGATGAAAACATTCCATGATTTTTCTCCATATAATGCACTTTACTGGTAACCAAACAGTTCAAGATCCAAAAGACAGTTTCAGTGCAAACTGCAAACTGTTCAAAAGGGCTTTAAACGATTCCAAACGATGGATAAGGGTCTTATCAAGCGAAACGATCGCTCATTCAATAAATAAATAACAAAGTTTAAGTTTTATAAGCTCAAATTCTCGCCTTGCTCTGTTCGTGACTCTCCTGTTCGAACTCGTTCATCAAAATGAACAAAAACTTTTCAGAGTCAATTCGTTCATTTCGTTCGTTGAATTAATCAAATGACACGAAAAAAGATTCGTTAATTTTGATGAACGAGTTCGAACAGGAGAGTTACGAATGCGCATCAGAAAAGAGCAAGGCGAGCATTTGAGCTTATAAAACTTAAACTTTGTTTGTTTGTTTTTTTTAAATGAGCAATTGTTTCGCTTGATAAGACCCTTATTCGTCGTCTGGAATCGTTTAAAGCCCTTTGAAAAGTTTGCAGCACTGAAACTGTCTTTTCGACCTTGAACCGTTTGGTTACCAGTAAAGTGCATTATATGGAGAAAAATCCTGGAATGTTTTCATCATAAAACTTAATTTTTTTTCGACTGAAGAAAGAATGACATGAATATCTTGGATGAAATGGGGGTGAGTAAATAATCAGCAAAAGTTGTTTTTTTTTTAAAGTGAACTACTCCTTTAAACCATTTTTGTTCATTTGAGTTCTCTTCTATTTTGTTCACACAAACACTTTAGTGTGCCAGTAGATTTAAACAATATTTTCCTTTGTTTTCAGGTGCCATGGGAAACATCCAGAAGCCAAATGCCCCTACAGAATCGTCTGCTAGTCTTTGCTGACAGTATGGATAGTTTTGTTCCACTTACAATATAATCAAACAAATGTAGTGTAATCAAGGTTGTGGGCTTCACTTGAAAAATATGCGCCTGTGCATTAGAGTAAGGCTGAAAGGAAACACTGTAGTAAAGTAGATCAGGCACCTTGAGATAGGATCGAAAGCATGATATTTAGCATGAAATGTAAAATATTGATGATTGAATTATTTAACTATTTATTTTAATTGTAGTGCATTCCTGTATTATCTATGTATTTTGCACTATTAAGCACCAGTCATTTTTATTGTAAATTTATTTAATTTACTGTACTGTTTGTTTTATATTTTTTATACAAAGTGTTTTAATATGTTTTCATTTTTATATTTATAGAATGCCTCTTTAATAAACTTTCATAACTGGTGTTTTGGTGTAGCACAAGCTGTTCACTTAATCTTGCTGAATGTGGTTTGCATAAGTTGATTTGTCTGCTGTTTGCTTCTGCTGATCACAGGTTTCCCAGATATCATCTCCCTCAGTGGTAAAATACCAGATGCGATTCTTATTCACCACAAACATCTCAAGCCTGCCAGGAAATTACACATCAGTGATGATTCATTCTGTTTCAAAGGAAAAAAATAGCATTCTCATCACTTTTATACGAGCTAATTGACAGTAGAATGACTGACGGGTGCCTCGTTCTATCTTCGACCTCATTTTTGGCTTCTTTAAAGACCGTAGAAGTTTACAATATTGGATGGCAATCATATTAAGCTCAACCAAACTGACACAAAACTGCTTTTGCAGATTCAATAGCGAGTGTTGATCCAATCACAGGTTAACTAAAATAGGCTACTTTAACGTCACTTCTATTCAAACTAAGTCAAACTAAAATTTTTAGGCATAACTAAAAAATGCACAATCCGAACTTACATAATTCAAGAATGCTTTGGAATATGATGTAAGATTTTGTTTTAATAAAGACATTTGGCAGATTTTTGTGGAAGTTAAATGAATTAAGAAAGTGAAAGAGAATAAAAGTTATAGAAGTTTGAGTTTATGAAAATGTAAAATGAAAATATTTTAAATAAAATATATTTTTTCAAAACCTGGTGACCTTAAACTGCAAGAAAATCAAAACTCTGAACATGTTGTGTGTCAAAATTTAGGTTAATATCTCTTAGTCTTAATATCTCTTAGGTTAATAAAAATGAGCTTTCAGTGAGATTTTGTTTGGGTGGAGTACCAAACTTTTTCACCAGGTCACAACCAGACTCCCATCACCTCCCACATAAGGGCATTTTAATGCAAATAATGGAGTAGGCATCCTATTCAGAAGTAGTAAGGGAAGTTTGGCATATTTTGATATGAATTCAACCTCAATAATCACATAAAAATAACACGTGTGTTATAGCTCACTGCCACATCACAAATGGTGAATCTGTCATTTTTTTCTTTATATTTATAACATCTCAGACTTTTTGTGAGTCAGCTGACTAAGTTTCCTCGGTGTGTTCTGCACGGCTCCGTGCCGTCGGCTGAATATAGTCCTCGTCAGCTTTGTTTCGCCCGATTCGACATGTTGGGGAAAGTGAGAACTCTATTTGGCTGTTTTGCAGAATAACAGCAAAACAGCGAGCAAAGAAGTCAAAACGGTAAAGATAGAAGGCTGTTCTTATGTTACGTCATCTTACCCTGAGTGTTCCTTGGCGAATATTTCAATATTAACATGAGCGGAGTGGAATAAAGAAAGTGTTTAGCGGGATTGATATTCAAAATCTGCAGCCGGTAGTGTCGGTTTTCCTTTTTGAATGACGAATATAGACTAATAAATCTGCAGAAATAGACCGTTCGCTCTACACACAAGCGCAGAACGCACATTCTAGCTGACAGTCGCCTGTAGTTCTCTCGGTGTGTTCAAATCATAGACGGTTCAAGTGCAGCTTTTTACCCCGACGAGAGTGGACGAGAGGCAACAACACAGTCGGCTTTCATCAGCGCTAGTTTGTCGGCGTCGGCTTGGTGTGTTCCTAACCCTAAAAATACCTGAAAATATTCCCCTAAGAAATGGGTTTTAATTTGAGTGAACTATCCCTTTAAGTGGCCTTTTATGTCTAAAGTTATATTATTTCCAAGTAAAATTTTATAAAACATGCAAGTTCCCATTCTATTCAATTAAGCACACTTTTTCACAAGGAAACAGTGGGGTGGGGTATCAGAATGGACAAAAAAAGTGTAACAAGACGATAACTTAAACTAGCTGATAAACGAACTTGACTTGACAAGACTAGATGCATGAGACTCTCCAATGGCAGTTACAGAGAACAATAATCAACAAAAGACAAAGAAACATGAGGGCTTCTTCTTCTTCTCTTAGTTAATGGTGGATTGCAAACAACTTGGTGGATTGCAAGTGCATACCGCCACCTACTGCACTGGAGTGTGTTACATCACGTATAACCCCTATGAAGTATCTTATTAAAGGACAAGTTCGGTATTTTACAATTAAAGCCCTGTTTGAAGATCGTCCCTGATGAAATAAAATAGTTAAGATTGTTTTTTAGACAAATGCTCCTGTCACGAGAATTTTGGGATTCTGTGTTAGCACCCCCCCCCCCACCACCACCTTTACAATGGTAGCATAGGTGCACTCGAACAATCATTCATAAAAACGCATAAAACTTTTGTTTACAAAGACGTGAAACTCACCTACTGGTCTGGGGTGTTCACTGATATGCTCACACAAAAATCGCTGCAAAAGATGCTTTCCAACAGGTTTTATCGTAGTTTTTGTCCAAGTCCATTTTCTTCCTGTTTTTGGTCGAAGTCCACAGTAGTCAATTGTCGAGTTCACGTGCGCGATCCTTAGTTATCTAGTTACCAATGATCGCGCACGTGAACTCGACAATTTACTGTGGACTTCGACCGAAAACAGGAAGAAAATGAAGTCGGACAAAAACTACGATAAAACCTGTTGGAAAGCATCTTTTGCAGCGATTTTTGTGTGAGCATATCAGTGAACACCCCAGACCAGTAGGTGAGTTTCACGTCTTTGTAAACAAAAGTTTTATGCGTTTTTATGAATGATTGTTCGAGTGCACCTATGCTACCATTGTAAAGGTGGTGGTGGGGGGGGGGGGGTGCTAACACAGAATCCAAAAATTCTTGTGACAGGAGCATTTGTCTAAAAAACAATCTTAACTATTCTATTTCATCAGGGCGATCTTAAAACAGGACTTAATTTGTAAAATACCGAACTTCTTAACAAGACACACTTGTGAATAATCAACAAGGAACCAATCAGAACATAACACATAAACAAGAGAACCAATCAGAACATGAGACTAGGAAAGCACATGACAAGATCACATGATGGCAAGGGAATCACATGACAAACCAGGACACTATGCTAAATTACAAAATAAAAAGACATGAAACATGAACAAACCAAAGGCCAAACCAACATGACAAACAGCTTCCATTTCAGTAAAATGTTAGACTCTGGAAAACTAATATCCACCTGTCAGAGAGTGTTTTATCCTTATTTAAGTGTAACAACTTTGCAGTAAAAGAACATCAAGAAATCTCCCGTTTTCAATGAAGCTCAAAATAAAGGGTGCCACTTTTCAAACTGAATGTCCCGTCTCAACCAGCGAGCCCATCAATCTCACAATTCCATGCTCACACCCAGAATTAAAAGCCAAACAACACTTTTTTTCCAAACAATGCATGGGGATGAGAATCTCATCAGCTCCGCCACTGGGAATGAGAATGAGGCTGCGTCACCCAATGACAGCCAGATTCCATTGAGTCGTAAAGGGAGGGACACTGACACAGCCATGCACAGACTGCTCGCCACAAGAGACTACTTCTGAGCATCCCTCTCCTTCAGGGTCCACTCTTCTTCCCAAATCACAGGAACTGGAGTCAGACCCAACAAACACAACAATACTGGAGCCAACAGGAACAAGGTAATACACATTATTCTTGATGAGTGAGTACAGTGAGGTTTTAGAGTTTGCGTCGATGTGTTAAAATGGTTTCTGCGTTTGTACTGACAATGCAAATCTCCATTGACTTATCATTGGTTTTAAAAGGTACAAGTTCACTTTTCACATTCAGGTGGTTTGGTGTACTTGTTCGAAGTGCTTAAGTTGTTTTATGTTGAGGAAAAACTAGTTTTGATAAGTTATTTCTTAGATACATTGCATATAAAGAAAACAGCAATAATACTTTCAAAATGTAATTGATGTCTAGACATGGTTGCTTGAGATGTTTTTCTGTATTGATGTAACGTCATGGCACAATTTCCTAATTCTTGAATATTATGTAAGGCCTCTCATTGTACTCGCAGTTCTCATTCCAGCAGTTGGTCGCTTTGTTTAGTCAAATCAAATTAAAATTCCTCAAAACAACTTTGCATCTTTTGCCAAGTCTCTTCACCAAAAGTCCTTATTTGGACAAGACAAACCATTGAATTGAGTAATGAAAAGACACTGATTGTCAGATGAATACAAACATTGGGTGATTTCTGATTTGGTGAAATTAAAGCACAAGAAAAACTGTTAATTATCATACAAACTGAGCTATGTTACATTTGAGAAATAGAATTCAAATAGAAGAGTTGTGTCTCTTTTCCTTTATCAACTGCTGCAATCACAGGACAGGAAGTGACATCAATGGAGCAGAACGCCAAGGACACATTTGAAGCTGAAAAAGAGCAAATGAATGGTCAAACCGAAGAAGTACCTCAAGAGACGACGACATCTGAAGAGCCGGCGAATATTAGAGAGAATAAGACAGAAGAGGAAATAAGTGTGAATGAAGAAGCAGATGAGAAGGAAGAAGAGGAAGAGGAGCCTGATTTCCAGTCTCCGGTTGAGATGTCAGGCCAAGAGTACGAGAAGGATAAAAACAACCGGCCTGTTTGCAGGTACAACACTGTCTGCTACCGGAAGATAAAGAAAGGAAACACAATGCAGAGAATAGATGAGTTTGAGTCCATTCTGAATGTATAACAGCGGTGAATGTCGTCAGAGACATGCGTAAGAACTGAGTGCCGTCATCATGTATGTTTTCATGTGGTTGTTAAACTTCATAGTTAAAAGACATATGCTCACGTGAACAGTATTTTATGACAGTTTATTTTTGGTTTCTTTGTAGAAATCAGTAGTTATCTTTAAAGCATCAAGAAAGCAGACTTAAGTAAACCCTCATCTGGCAGTGAGCCGTAAAAACATTTAGGCTATTTGTCTGCAAATTAGATTTTTCATTCATGAATGCTCCTCCAAATAACATGCGGTCTCTCTGACTGATGAAGGCCTGATCTATATTGTGTAAGTAGCCTATGTGAACGCATCATGAATGCATTACTGGAAGAGCTTTTAGTTACAGTAAAGCAGTATGGAGGACATTATTGTATTTC